GGGGGAGGAGGAGGAGGAGGAGGAGAAGGAAGAGGGCGTTTGTGAACTGGCATCAGGAGAAGCGGTGGAAGTAATAGAGGGAGAAGTCAAGGAAACCGCGCGGCAAACAATGAGAATGAGCGACGCATTTCATATATATACAACCTCCTCTCCTCCTCCTGCCATGAGGAATGGAGACGGGCGCAAGCAACACTTCGAGACGACCAACCCAACCGATGAGTAATCTCTTTCCTCACGTGCCACAACATCGACTGTTATCATTACGGACGAACATCGTGCTCGATCCCCCCCCACCCGTCCACCTCCCTCCCTCCGCTCCAATCAATCCCCCAACATCCTCGAGGCAGCAGCTTAGAACTGCGGGTCGTAGCCATTGCTTGCTGTCGCCAGGATGAAGAACGCCACCACGTGCCCAAGTGCCCCCCACGACAGCACGTCAACGAGCGTGAACCCCGCAGGGTCGTTCGTCTTCATGAAGCCTTCATTCTCCTGCGCTCTTGTATCCCCGGCCTCAAAATGCGTCTGGCCGTTTTGCGTGGGCAGCCCGGCCTTGGCGAGCGATGCTCTGTGGAAGGGCAGGAAGACAAATCGGCCCAAGAAGAGAAGGGCAGCCGTGCTCCCGCTGATGACGATGGACGGGTTGACACATGTCGTCCTGCTAGACACCGCCAGCTGGCGCTTGACGTCGTCGAAGGAGGACGGAGAGAGCGACCGGGATGCAAGCAGCGTTCGGCGTCCCGATCTCAGCTTCCTGCTCGACGACAGGGTCGCCAGGCTACAGGTCGCCGCAGCAACACTGCTGCTGGTTGCGGCCATAGCTGCTGCTGCTCCCGCCACCATCTTCGCCTGCTCTGTTCCCGCCCTCCTGCTTCTGGTTCTTGCCCTTCCTAACGGCTTCTTCCGTCCTGCAGAGCAAAGCCGGAGCAAAGGCAAGGGGACGAGTGGAGGCTTGCGGCACACCGACCGATATGAACCCAGGGGTTGCCCGATTGCAGTGCAGCAAGGGAACGATCGGTCACACGGTGTGTACACGCCGACCGGGCCACGGCTTGGCCACTTCGCTGGCCTTGCCGGGCGGTCGTAAGGGCGGGTAAGACTCACCGACCGGTCGTTCCTCAAACTCCTACCAGCGACCGACGACCATTGCCAGGCCGGGGAGACCAGTACCTGCGGCCTTCTCGCAATGAGATCCGCGCAATATGTCGGAACGTTCGGACGGATAAGTCCCCTTATCGTACCGCAGCCAATGGAAGAACGGCAAATCCAGGTGGCCAATTTGCGATGGCTAATAGCTGGGTGTAACAGCAACTCTGGCCTGTCCCAAAATGGCCCTGGGTGTACTGAAAGTTGTGCACACGACACGATTCCCTGCGCACAACAGGAAGAGCACCTTTTTTTTTCTGGGGGCAACGATTTTCAGGGATTCAGGGATGCAATGGATATTTCCTCAAGAAAAAGAGAGAAAAGAACAATGGCTCAAGCCTCCACCGCACCCCACGCTGAACCTATCCCATTTGGAGGCTCCAAAAAGAGCCCGGCACCCACAGTGGCAGATTTTGCCTTTTTGATACCAGGGCCACAGCAACGATGGTGTCGTAACATGGTCCTTGGCGCCCTTGGCAATCTTGCACCTGCAATCCTCAGACGTGGCAATCGCAACCATTTCCTGTGAGATTGTCAACTTGTCCCTGAAAGGCGCCTGAGTTGTTAACGAGGCCGGTCATGGTGCTATACAGACATAATAACGTACTAAGGGAGGAGGCTTTACCTACCGATTCGTCGGGGTTTGTTTGCCGGACTATCGGAGTAAAGCATGGAGAGTTTTATTTCGCGACAGAGGTAGGGACGGAATAGCCGTCCATATTTCTCCTTTAGATAGAGGTTTTTCTAGGAGTTTCTTTTGCTGGTCAGTTAGTGTTCGGGTAAGGGGGTTTAAGAATTCCTAGATTGCTTCCAGTCGATGTGCCACTGGCTGGTCTCTGCACTTCGATGTAAAGAGGTTTTGATAGAAGTCTCTTGCTATTTTTGTGCAGGCTGCTGTTGACGAAAAAAGTGGTCCCTGGTGGACATTTGGGTCTTCCAAGGCCTCTCTTGTCGATCGTCCGATTTTTGTGATGGCCATTGCAAAGAATCTTGTGTCCATTGCTCCTTCTATGTTGTGCTTGTGCAGTTTCCCCTGGATCCTGATACCTTGCCATCGGTGTTCCATATGTCCTAGAATCCGGGTTTCTAGCGCTTGTATTGACTCGGCTAGCTCTGTTAAACGGATATCCGCACTCATGCCATCTTCTTGTTGTTGGAGTTGTTGTAATCGGTGTTGTCGGTCTACCTCCTCTGCGTGGCGTTGTGCCGCGAGGAGCTTTGTGTACTCGTTGTCGGCCCAAATACCCTTACAAGGGTATTTGCGCATATTTTGCATCTCACAGAGGATGCGTTTTTTATAATATTTGAGAGAGTGTACCATTTCTGCATAGCCATAACCAACTCTCAGGAGCTGAGAATAGCACGCGCTTCTGATCTGATTAGAGAGTGTGTGGGCTTGCATTTTGAGGGCACTCATGGGTTCTAGGCAAAACATTTGGTTATATAATGTAATACCAGCGCCTGAGCAATGGAACTAGGGAAAAGTTGCTATCTAGTTAAAACTGCGCACACGGAGTGCGTTCACATTTTAGACTCGCATTCGATGGTCAAGGTTAGGATTTAGTCACCAGAGACGTTGACTTACCTGAGATAGGAGTAGGGCCCGCGTTGTGTGGAATACGTGAGCCCTTAGGTTCACCATGTTTTGGTCTACGGTAGAAGCCATGAGCGGCATTAGGAAGCGTCGGCATAAGTAAGAAGTAGTGGAGGTCGGGGTTTTCCCGACACCTAGGTAGTAAAAGTATAGTCTTCGGAAAGGTAGCCTGCTGAGAAAGGTCGGATTTTTTTAGCCACGGAGTAGTTGTGCCGCATGCACGACAACGGTAGGTGAAATTGACCTCTTCATGCAGCGGGGATGGGTACGTGGGAGCCATAGACATGGCTGGTGGGCCAAAGAACGGCTTTTAATGTTGCTTAACAGGCATTGGAGCAGCACGGATACCCTTTATGAGGGAAGTCCGCGCCTGCTACACCCAAGCTTGGGCCTAGCCCTATAGGTTATGACTTTGAACTGATACTACGAATAGCCAGGGATCGAGGCCAGCAGTCGACAACGAAGGAGCGGAGGAGCATCTTATGTAAAAAATTGAGGGGTTGAGGGTCCTTCGGCACTATCCCCCTTAGTTTTACTGGAGAGTCCGATTGCGGGCCCAACTGGCGGGACCGAGGGAGTACCGGTAGGTCCCTCCTTCCCTCCTCATCGATGTTTCTTTCTTTACTTTTATTTATTATTATTATTTTATTACTGTTATTTTGGTCCGAGCCCGGTACCGGTTCAGTTCCGAAACCGACGTGGAACCCATGACCCGAGCTCAGTGAATGCACCATTAAACTGTTGAAATACAAGCCCGTGTTCGAATCTAGATGATGAAACTTGCTGAGTGAAACCAAATATTTTATGAATTGCCTAGGCCCGGTCAGTTCCACGATGATATCTCAAGGGCGTTACGTTGGCCGTGGTCCTTCAGGACATCCGTTAAAATTGGAACGAAACAGAGAGGTTTGGCCCAACTCTTACTTAAGGCAGCGGACCCGATGATATCGGCTCGCTGCTGGCTGACTCATTGTCAAAGTTGTAGTCGATCTGTTTGGTGCACTATTGCATAGCGAGGGGCGGAGGTCGGGGCGAAGACGAAGAGGAAAGACGGGAAGTTGAGGACAGTGAGGGAAACATGGAGTTGACGAAGGAAAAAAAAGGAGAGAAAGAAAGGGGAAAGGCGCTTACCTGGCTGGCGGCATTATAGATGCGGGAATGGATACTTGTTGGCCGTTGCGTGGCTCGTCTATCGACAGAAGTAACCTCGCTACCTCTCTGCATGCGTGACTGGAAAGCAGTGTAGATTTTCAGGTTCTAGCAAAAGATTTATTCCGATTTTGCTCATGCAGTCGAAGGTAGTAGAGCGAGGAGGGCAGACACCAAGATGACGACGAAGTAGGCGAAAAACAGATAGGAACGCGAAGATAAGGGAAGCCGAAAGGAGTGGAATGAATACGGCGCGAATTTCGCGCCAGATACATTCAAAAAAGTTGATGACAAAGACTGGCGTGGATCAGGCGCAGTAGAGGAGGTGTAAACCGCTCGTTTATGAGTGAAAACGGCCGGAGTAGTGTGTTAGGTGGGGGTTTCGAACCCAGGTGAACACGATAGTGTGGTCAGATTGAAGTGAGGGAGAATGCTTAGGAGAGTAGGTGGAAAGAAGGTGTCGGGAAAGAGGGAGAGTGTACCTGACAGTGTATATTTTCATACTCTGGCGGAAAATACATTTGATTTTGCTCATACTATCGGGGGAAGTAACGTAGGGGTTGTAGCGGGGTTGGAGACTTACCTGGTGGCCAGGTGCATTCAAGTGCAAAAGAAGAGAGACGGGAGTTTTGTGGAGAGAGGAGACAACGAATTTGAAGAGTGCAACACAACGGGAAGCAAGGTAGGAGAAGGGGTTGGAGTGCCTACCGAGCAATGTGGGATAAACCGAACGCTACGGTGCCGAATTGCGCGCTAACTCGACCAATGTGCCCACCAAGTTCTTATAAGGAAGAAGTGTAGTGCGAGGCGGGGGAGTGCGCGGTTAGTAGATGAAGGAGAAGAAGGTACTTACGAACGTGAATCTTTCCGCATTTTTGCGGGAGATTTAATATCAATTTGTACGGGGTACAACGAAAGGGAAACATGCAAATTATGGCGATGTATCTTCTGGTGATCTAGTGGATGATTCATTCTCAATTCACATGGGCCATCGTGTAGCTGCTGCTCAGGGTCGCTGTGCTGCTAAAAATCGTGCTTGGTTCACTTTGTGATTATCGTGCTCACACCCGTTTGCAGCACCCTTCGTAGTGGCACTCGTGTTCCCAGTAACGACGTTGTTTATCGAGGCGGGTGCGTAGAAGGAGTGGATACCTACTAGTTTCATCGTATTAGTCATCCGTCAAGATCTGCGGACAGAGTCTGTTGAAGCAAGGCTCAGACTGTGTTTTACAGTAAGGCTCTAGCTGTGTTTGTTTCCTGTCCCCCGCTGCATGACACGCTTTGCTGTTGTCAACACTGTGTTTGATGTGCACGCTGAGGTGCTGGGTTGCTGGTCTGTGTTACAATGATATGCCCTGACTATTGTTCGGCCCGACTTTGTTGTGCCTTGTTGTGCATGACACCGTACGTAACCCTGACCCTCGCTGTGTGCCGCTACTTCCCATTACCGTAGTCACACTTTTTTTTTTAAACTGGTCTTGGGTGTAGCTACGTGTAGGGCAGTGGTGCGTGTGTTTAAAACTGTGCGGTGCCACGGTGCCGAGAGGGAAGCTGATGAGAGCAAGAGTCTAGTGGGGAAGCCATTTGTTTTCAGTACGGGCATGAGTCGTGAAAACACGTACTTGATCTTGGCACTGGTTAGTACTGTTGACATCTGCATGAACGAAGGTTGGTGCTGCTGACCGCTTTACTGGTCGTAGTCAATACCACCGTGTCACTTCAAAGTTACAAAGACAGTGTAGCCGTTGGTCTCCGACTGTTGCAGTCAAAGTAAGATATTGAACATCGGATAATAATATTTGTGCAAATCTCAAAGGATCTGTCGTTTTGTTCTTGATTACTATTTTGTAGTTGCTTTGCGTTGACTGAGTATCTCTTTAGATTACCGTATACTGTAAACCGCACAAGTTGATACGCTTCGTTGCTGCGTCCGTTCAAAGTTTCGACTCATAAAACTTTTTGCACAGTACACTGCAACTTTGTATCAATACGGTGTTTTTATTTCGCGACACCCATTCTTTGTGCACACCGTGCGTACTACACATTGTGGTGTATTGCCTCTCACTAAAAAAAAGCACAGGGATTGCGCACTATTCGAAAGTAGTCATTCTGGGTAGTGAAGCAGCGGTTGGGGCTGAGAAAGTGGCATTGTAAGCATTAGGGAAGGTGACCAGACTCTGAGACTTAGTGAAAGGGTGCATGGTTGCAACTTGGAGGCTCGTCTGACGACTGCTACTTTGCATCCGAACCTAGAACGGACCATCTTCATTGGACTATTGGCCGCC